CGTAGTTTGGCGAACCGATAAAAGGTTTTTTGATTTTGTGGAAATCCCTAGATAAGGCATGTCCAGCAGTGCACTTCCATCAGCTGATGATTATCATAATAATTATACAAATAGAAACATTTGTTTTAAAACTATATAAAGTTACAACAGTAACCTTGCAATTAAACGTTTGACTGTAGTTATACAAGAGTTAACGGTTGACACGAGGAATTATCTAATTAAACTGTTATTGTTCTATTAGTTGGTATGCCGCCCGTTTCATATCGACAGATGCGTTGGTTTTAGGCGATTTTTCAATCAATGAGCTTGTAAAAAATACGCTTCGAAAATACCCAATGTAGCGTCAACATAAGTTTGTTAATAAAAATATATATTTCATTCAAGCTTCCGTTTGTCTTCTTTTGTTACGAGTATGAAAAAATGACAAAAACACATTTATAAATTCATAAATATATAATATTTTTATTTATTTATGAATTTATATATAATTATTTTTTATTATTCAAACAATGCATTTTCATTAATACTTAGTGTTTAATGCCTAAATCTATAACGGATATGAAAACACCTATACAGATTTAGATTTATTTTAGGGGATTTTTTTAGGTCAATTTAGGACAACATTTATTTTTATATACCTAAATAATAATTTACAAATTTAATATTTTAATAGTTTGACGATTTCACTGCATTAAAAATTATTATTAATCGGAGAAAAGTATCCGATGTAGCAAGTAAAAACTGAAAATAGCCTTGTTATATTAAGTTATGAAGAAATAAACCATTTATTTTATGTTATAAAGAGGTAGTTTCTTAGTTTGCAGTAATCTTTATAACTAATCTATAATCTCTGTCTAATCTCTGGAACTACTGAATCGATTTTGAAAATTCTTTCACCAATTGAAAGTTACGTAAGTGACGCTATGTTTTTATTAAAAAAATGAATTCATGTAATGCGTAAGAATCTCTAGCAAACGGGCTTTAAGAGGATTTGAGCCTGGGGTCGTAACACAGGTTTTGTAACCTAGTACAATCTCCAGCTCTCTCAAAGAACTGCATTGTTATTCCTATCTTTGTCATTCAATACCCTTTTAATTAATTATAATGTTACTTTGTGACTTTGTGAGAGAAAATAAATAAATCATTCATTCATTCATAAATCATTCATTCATTTTAATACGCTTAGGAATTTCTAAGCAATAAATAAAATGTAGCTTGTTTTGTCTGACCGTACATTACACGTGACAATACCTTTTCCTTACGATAGGCGCCGCCATAAAAATTGTTTCTAAAACCATAGAGCCGTCCCGCAAATAATGAAGAGAATATCTTTCTTTCTAGTTTTGAAGAAGAAAAATGTATGGATTTTTTTTTTTATTTATTTATTAACTTATGACGACCTCCGTGGCCGAGTGGTTTGTACGCCGGGTTTCATGTCACCAACTTGAGAGGTCCCGGGTTCGAATCCCGGTGGGGGTAGATGTTTGTGTGTTGATTACGAGCATTTGTGATTTGTGCTTCTTGTTGTCATGGATGCTTAATATGTATTTCTAAATAAAGAAACTTGTATATGTACTGTATATGTATTCTATCCGTTACCCTAGTATCCCATAACACAAGCCTTACAGTGCTTACTTTGGGGCTAGGCTGGTGTGAGTGTTGGAAATATTTATTAATTTATTTCATTTACAAAAAGCAATAATAATGTTATACCTAAATCATGTGAAGTGCCGGTGTAAGGTGTGTTTATATGTTTTTATTTAAAAACATATGCCTATCTAGGGATTTCCACAAAATCAAAAAACCTTTTATCGGTTCGCCAAACTACGGCGGGAGACCTTGTACTGAGAAAAACCGGCAAGAAACTCAGCAAGGGCTGTTTTTTTCTCCCTGTATTACAGTGTAATATACAGAGTCGTCGAGTTGAAAAATTACTTCAGAGATACTTCTGAAGTCATCTTCTATTACATCATTTAGAATAAAGATATACAGTTATAATAAATTTTATAGTGAACTTTAATAACTAACTAGATAGATACCATATTACTGTTATAAAAATGACTAATACCAAATAACAAATTACAAGAAACACTTTGTCCACTTGTCCATGCAGTACGAACATTTAGATAATCATCAATTTTATAATAGACTTTATTCATAAGAGTATTCTTGCAATACTACAACCCAAAAATGAACCTCTTGATTTTTGGAGTCTGAAATATGGAACGGCAAAGCTTGTTCTTAAATCTCGTGTTAAAGTTGGCACACACAAGTGGTACTCGTAATCTGCTATCACCTCATCATAAGCCTTATTATACTCCCTCTTCTGGGGTCCTTTTCCCTATAAATGGAATGGAAAAGACAAGACAGGCAGAGTACAGGGACAGAGAAGAAATCTCCACCTTACAGAAGATAACAGTAAAATAACACTTACCTTTTGGTGGTGTTGTGTTTCTGTCGATAAGTAAGGTTCCAGGTAGGGTTACCATCCGTCCAGATTTGTCCGGATATGTCCGGAGTTTTTTACTTTTGTCCGGGCTTTGTCCGGCTTTTTTATTTGTCCGGATTTTTTTAATTAGATGGAATATGATTAATTCTACTTATTAAGTTATGTCAAATAAGGCAAATAATCTTTATTAAGTTCTCATTAATTTAAAACAAGCCCTCGCGATGCGAGCGTCTGCTACCACGTGTAATCACTGTAACTAAGTAATAATTATAAGTATTTGTTTGCTTCAAAAAATACATATATGTACAAATACAAAAACTTAAAATCTGACATACCAACTTTTTGGAAACAAAAAGGGAATGTGACTCAGCCTTAGACTCGCCGTTTTATCGGAAACCGCTGATATTCTGCCACAACCTTATTTAACTAATACATGCTCCATTTTGTGATACCAACAAGTAAAACTTTGAAAATCGATTAAAAAATGAATACATCCATTATTAAATATCTGAATTAAATACAGTTTTGGCCGCAGTATACTGTTTGTCTAATAACCACAATTTACATTTACTTTTAAAATTATATATTGACATTGAAATGTTAGTCCGCAAATGTGGTGGGAGATCATTCCATATTTTTAATGCGGCATATACAAAGCAAATATAAAAGTGGGTGATGTTTTCATTTTGTGACTAAAATGTCCGAACTATTATCGAAATGTCCGGACTTTTCAAATTTTTAAACAGTAACCCTATTTCCAGGGCTCCACGGGGAACGGGTAGGCAGTCTATGGTGGCGCCGCTTACCATCAGGCGAGTCATACGCTTGTTTGCCTCTGTTTTAACATAAAATTGAATGAAAATATAGAAGAAGCATCGCGTGGACAATAAATAACTAAAAACTCATTAAGGAACTAAATGAAACAGTTTCGGAACTAGTGTAAATGCGTTTTTACTACTTTTTTTTTGAGTAATTTTGACTTATCTTTTAAGCAATGCTATTCTGTAAAATTTTCACGCACGGATCCGATGTGGATCCACGTGGATTAATATCTGAACCGCGCGGATCCACATCGCAACCGCGCGGATTTACATCGGATCCGCGAGTGAAAATTTAACAGAACAGCACTGCAGAAAGCGTCGGTTGCTTTCGCCAAACTTTTATTGAACATTCTACTTAATTACCCGTTTATAACCTGTTTTGCTTAATAAGTCGCGTACGTGAAAACTTAAGAAGCAAATATCATTTAGGAACTACTATTTAGTAAACTACGAGTGCTTTGTTGGCTACATAAAACATCCAAAAACAGTAAACAAACAATTAGACACATATATGTGAGCAAAGCAGATGCAAAAACAGCTATTTAAAGTCTCGATTCACTGCAGAGTCTCATATATGGCTTAACTACCTTAACAGCTTAATAGCATATAAGTAATGTGCATAAATAGATTCGTAGATACGAAATTGCAATTTGCGTATAAAAACTATGCTAAATATTTTTGAAAAATGTTGCTTTTCGGGCTTATAGCGGACGGAAGCTAGGTGAACATTTTGTAAGTTTTTTCCGTCACAACCTAGCGAGGCAGCTGGGTGGGTCGCACACGGACCACACGCCACAGCCACAAACGCCGCCACGAGAAGCTAGAAGCGGCTACTAAAGTGGCTGAAGCGCGCGACAGCGGCCGACTAAGGTAACGGAGAGAGGGGTGGGGAATCGCGCGAGTGACGTGTGGCGGGTTTTGTATCGGCGCATTAAGTGGCAGCAAGCAACGACGATTTGAAGCGTATGGCGGCCACCGGCGTACCGTGTGTGGCGAGTCCATATAAAATGTATGAAAACTACAAGAAATATGCCGGTGGTGGCGTTTGTGGTTTTGGTCGGTGACCCGTGTGCGGCGACACATAGGATGCGAGGACTTTAGGAAGGTTATTTATTAACTTATGACGACCTCCGTGGCCGAGTGGTTTGTACGCCGGGTTTCATGTCACCAACTTGAGAGGTCCCGGGTTCGAATCCCGGTGGGGGTAGATGTTTGTGTGTTGATTACGAGCATTTGTGATTTGTGCTTCTTGTTGTCATGGATGCTTAATATGTATTTCTAAATAAAGAAACTTGTATATGTACTGTATATGTATTCTATCCGTTACCCTAGTATCCCATAACACAAGCCTTACAGTGCTTACTTTGGGGCTAGGCTGGTGTGAGTGTTGGAAATATTTATTAATTTATTTCATTTACAAAAAGCAATAATAATGTTATACCTAAATCATGTGAAGTGCCGGTGTAAGGTGTGTTTATATGTTTTTATTTAAAAACTGTGCGTATAGCGAAAAACGCTGGATGTTTTTCACCAATTACCGGTGGGGAGTAAAATTTTCTCTATTATATATTTTTTTTTACATAGGTACTAAAAAAATCAAATAATTAACAACCGAATAAATCACAAAGCTACTCTACACTCCTCAAAAATTTCCATAACCTTCGTCTCCATCCCTCCCTTGTTCTGCTGGGAGTTAGGATCGTCGCTACGGCTGACTGGCACCAGTATCCGTTGAATAGCCGAGCGGTGCGTGCGCAGCACTCAGTCGGTATACCATGTCCTTGGCAGAAGGGGCTTCTGATACCGACCAGAGACAAGACAGAGAAGAGCGCCAAGACGACAGGCCCGCCAACAAGAAGAACGATAAGGCTAGGGGGCAGGTATGTTAACACTTTTTGATGTGTTTGTCTTTCTGTTCGCTTTCCTGCAATAGGGATGATGACTAATTTTTTTTCTTCGTTTATCAGGTAGATTATCAAAAAGTATTGGACACGTATTTTTTCTTTTTTCACATAATGTAAACATTGCAGAGATATATTGATTTGAAAAGTCGCATGACGTCACGTTTGAGTACATTTATAAGTCAAAATTCACTCAAAAGTGACGTCACGAGCCCATACTCCCAAACTTTGACGCGCTATAACTTTGTCATTTTTTGGTTGATTGCCCAAAGAAAAAATACGTGTCCATTATTTTTTGATCATCTAACTGACGGACTCAATAGAATTTCGTTTACTGCACCCCGTCATCACCCCTATTTGTGGGAGTGATTTCGTAAAACGGGACGGAAGTGTGTAGCAGGAAGTCGCGAAAGCGCGCGCTATTTGATTTGATTTTACAACATAATGTTCAAATGGCATATTCCTTTTGTAGTAGGTTTTATTTCTTTTTTTACTAATATAAGGTGAGGTTGTAAATGTTACACATCATACGCGACTAATGTAAGGCTCGCTTGTTTTTTTTAACTAAGATACTCGTAGTTTTGATAAAAGGTACATTTAAAAAAGTAAAAAAAACCCGACTGCTTATAATAAAGTTATATTTAATAAAAACTGAAAAGAAAAACACCACTAGAGTCAGTGCGGAAAGGGAATGGGCGTGGCGAAAAACAGAACTAACATTAAGATTTTTATTATGCAATCAAACCCAGCAATCTGTAAAACATCAAAGTTGTGTATTGATACGGATTTGTTTACTGTTGTGATTTCTTGCGGTTTTTTGTATTTAATCATGTCTAAAAGGGGTAAAACCTTACAAATACCTTAATACAATGCAGCGCCCTCCAATCTAAATCCCATTCTCTTTCCGCACAGACTCTATGGCCAGTAGTCTACAGTTCTGTTAAGTAAGGAACAAAGCTAGTTTAACAGTCGGGACCCATTATTGAAAAAAAATATAATTCATTCTTAAATATTTAATGCTGTGCTTCGCGCTCTTGCATTGCGCAGTCGGGTAAAAAGAAAGAAGGTGAAACGGGTTAAATTATAGTAAATGACCATTGCAAAAACTGCACATCAGGCATACAACGGGTGATATTTTTCTTTATGGAAAATAAATTGTTAAAAAAAATGGGTGCGTGTACTTATGTAGGCGCGTGAGAAGTTATCCTTCTTTGGCATCGTTTAAAATTAGTTTTTAATTGCATGCAAATAATTAATTACAATAAATTAATAAAAAGTCTGGAAAAGGACACAGTCAATAAAGTTCAGTTTTAATTTGAAAAAATAAATAAATAATCAAAATATTCAATTAAAATCGCTACTGAATATAATTTATTAGAACATATGTGATTTGCACTTGTATGAAACTCAAACACGTATTCCGAATATACAAACTAGAAACATGTGGATAAATATTATAAATATGAATACCTATAACTGTTACTTTATTACAAAAAATAAAGATGTGGTTTTTGGTTCTACTACACCAATGGTCAAGAGATGGCGCTGTAGTCTCCTGAATCACGCTTTGGTTCCGTTGTTCCAGATTAATAAATACTTTTGATATTATAAATATGAATACCTATAACTGTTACTTTATTACAAAAAATAAAGATGTGGTTTTTGGTTCTACTACACCAATGGTCAAGAGATGGTGCTGTAGCCTCCTGAATCGCGCTTTGGTTCCGTTGTTCCAGATTAATAAATACTTTTGATAGGCCTTCACAATGCAGTCGTTAGCACCCACTAAATAGAGATTCTATTTCTAATTTGTTGGTAGATTTTCTTAATGTGCGGTAAACACAAAAGTAACATGCTGTTAATTTTTGTGTTACAGTGATGCGCTCGCGTCTTAAAATTTCATTCTCATCATTTTTTCATAACGCGCCTAAAGAAGTATAACTTCAAAAATGCTTCTTGAGAGTTTTGTTCCACTAACAATTAATTACAGCATAGATATTCTGCAAGATGCAATCTCACTTACGATCTCATTTATTCGGTTTTCTATCAAATGTCAAATATCTAATACTGGCTGCTTCTACAGACACAGCGAGATTTTGCCATATAATGGCGTAATGCATATCAAACTGATGTCTGAAATGCATACACATAACACATTATCCAATATTTACTTGTGAAATAGGGATGATGACAATTTTTTTTTCTTCGTTTATCACGTAGATTATCCAAAAGTATTGGACACATATTTTTTCTTTTTTCACATAATATAAACATTGGAGAGATATATTGATTTGAAAAGTCGCATGACGTCACGTTTTGGTACAATTTTCACTTTAAAGTGACGTCACGAGCCCCTACTCCCAAACTTTGACGCGCTATAACTTTATCATTTTTTGGTTGATTGCCCAAAGAAAAAATACGTGTCCATTATTTTTTGATCATCTAACTGACGGACTAAATAGAATTTCGTTTACTGTACCCTGTCATCATCCCTATTACCGACCATTTCCAGACTGAGAGGTCTTTTATTGAATAATTATTATATATTTAGATAATTAGCGATGGAAAAACATATTTAATCTACCCTATGAATACGTGTTTGCACTAACAGCTAACCGACGATTTGTTATTATTTATTTATTACTAGAGGTGCGATTTGAAGAAAATGCTTATAGTGGGTTACCCTTAAAAGACAGACATACTCGTATGCTGTCTCGGACTTTTTTATCGAACTTTTTGAGGTGAACAATTGCGTCATACATGATATTTGTGTAACGTTACCGTACAACGTAGTGCACGCAACGAAAGCTTTTAATGGATGTTTTTTCAGCGTTTTTCTATAAGCACTTCTGTTAGTCATAGCTAGGGCTGCCATCCGTCCGGATTTCCCCGGATTTGTCCTAGTTTACGGGGCATCCGGGAAGCGTCCGGGCGGGGTTTTATTTGTAGTCCGGGTTTAAAAATTTACGGCAACGCATGAGTGGCCCTTGGTGCTGCAAGTGTCCAAGGGCAGCAGTGACCACTTATTATGAGGTAGACCGCTAGCTGTTTTGCCTAGATCAACATAAAAAAGTTGATTTGTGACATTTTTAACTGTTTTTTATTGGTCTGTCCGGGTTTTGGGCTTCAAAATCCGGGGTTATCACGCGTCTTATCCTGGTTGCCACATTTTAGAGATGGCAGCCCTAGTCATAGCGTTAAATGGGGCCTTATTGCCCTCGTCGATGAATGCACTATCCAAAAACGATATCTTTTCTAATCGGACTAGTAGTTATCAAATAATCAATCAAATATCAGATGATCCAGAATTTATAATTTACATTATCTTTAACTGAAAATTACTAACTGCTCAAATATCGGTTCTGTGTGCATTACTTCAAAAGATTTGTTCCAGAAATCTGGATTATATACTGCAAAAATGCTTTAAAGCGGTATAAGGTTAGGATAAGGTTAGGTATGCTGCATCTGCAGTCGTTAGCACCCACCAATCCGCACTGGGATCGCGTGGTGGGTCATGGCCCAAACTCCCTATTCCATCCATAGGGAAGGCCTTTGCCCCAGCAGTGGGGATATTAATAGATGATGATGATGATGAAGGTTAGGATAAAGCATTTTTTTTCTGTTGTATGGAATAAAGCTAGTGAAGGGCTAGCAAGACTAAATGCCTAAACTTTTGATTTTCTGATTAGGAATATCTGATTAGCAAGCGTCGGGCTCAAAGAGCAGTCAAAAGTGTGCGGGGACCACACATCTGCAGTGAAATTTTTTTTCTTAAATAATAATAATAAAGGACATTGTTCTGCGTCCATACATAGTTAGCCTAAGAACCAACAATCATGAAATATTATTTGCTAGGTTCGAAATCGCAAGTAAATGACTGATAAAACAAAGATTATTGACGGACACTTCTGAGAACTTAAATTATTAGGAAAACTAAAATTTTTTTGAGGTTATGTTTAACATTCAATGAAACATAGTTCAACCTACGAAGTTCATACTAGAACTCAGTTTGAAGTGAAGTAATGTTACAACTAATTATTTTTTTGATTTTAAAGAATAACTAATAGGAAAAACTTGGTTAGGTAGGAACCATGAATAAAATAAAAACTGTAGTTTTGCTCCTTACTATTTATTGGCTATTTTTTACATAATTGTATCATATTGTATTTATTTGTTTAAATACGAATAGCCAAGTGAAGTGCCGGCATTAGGAAGAAAGTGTTTTTTGTTTGCAGCGCTGTCATAGAATATACACATAAAATGGTATTTATTGTCTCAGATTATTTATTAACTTTTTAATTTAGCTTACTTAACTGGAAGTGTCCGTCACAATCTAAATACTGATAATTATCGCAAAAAATAGACTAAGAATTATCATAAATGCCAAATTGGTGTTGGTTCTTAGGCCAATTTAAACATTGTCCTTTGTTTTATTTCCCCAACATTTTTACATAGTTAAATTATGTTTGAACTATGTAATATTGTTTTCTTAATGATTAATAACAGCGACAATACTTAAATAGCACTTACAATACACTAGTACCTAAACTAGGTCGAGCCTGTATAATAGGTACTAGATCTTTCCTTTTTGACTAAATTAATATTGAAAGGATTTCATCTATAATATTTTTAATTTTGTGCTTGTGGATTCTGCAAGAATTTCTGGTGATATTTTGTTCAAATTCAAAGTAAATAACTAAATAACTAAACATCCACTCCACACACTCATATATCTAATATATAAAATTCTCGTGTCGCGGTGTTTGTGGTTAAACTCCTCCGAAACGGCTTTCCCGATTCTCATGAAATTTTGTGTGCATATTGGGTAGGTCTGAGAATCAGACAACATCTATTTTTCATCCCCCTAAATGTTAAGGGTGGTAATCCACCCCTAAATTTTTTTTTTCATATTTAGATATTTTTTTTTTAATTTTTTTATGATACATCATACAAAAATACATACAACCCTAAATTTTCAC